ATTAAATTTGACCGTCTAATTTTCTAATTTTATTTTTCATTTTTTTTTAAAAAATAAATCAAAAATATGGTTTTGATATTTTAAACTCTTATAAAAATTCATTTATGAAATTTTAAACACTAAAAAAATTTCTTTAGAGCATCTCCAACCCAACACCAAATCCTACACCAAACCTTTTTTTTTTGTAAAAGCCTCTCCAACCCAACACAATTTCCAACACTAAAATGGTGTAAACTCATTTTTTACACCAAATATGGTGTAGAAAATGGGTTTACACGGTGTTGAACTTTTTTATTTATACAAATTGTAATGGTTAAATCCAAAATCTAATATGTTTGATAATAATTAAACAAAAGCTTAATGTATTTTGTTATTTTATATGTTACAATGCATTTCTTTTATATAATAAATGTTAAATTTAATTTATTTCATAATTTTTTAAACTAAAAAAAATAAGTGGGGTTGATTTGTAAATTTTAAAAAATTGAAAAAAATAATGTATTAAGAATATTTTATTTTGGTGTAAAAATTGGTGTAAACTATTAGAGTAAAACTCAACACTATTTTGATATTATCTTATTTTTGGTGTAAAAAATAGTGTAAACCATTAGAAATGCTGCTACGATCCTTTTTTTTCTTCTTAAGTTCACGTATGATCGCTGAGAGAGGGAGAGAGATGTACATAGTACGGCATGAACAAAAACTTCTGAGCTGTCCATAATTTATAACTTTGCATTGTTACAAAATCCTAAATCATAAATTTCACATTTGGCCCTGCGATTCCCGAAAACTTTATCGCAGCCACCTATATTTCTTTTTCGTTACAGCTAAATTTAAACGGAACATTACAAATTGAATAAAAATATGAAATTTGAATCCCATTTCTTCTTTTTCACGATAAAATTGAAGCCCAATCGATCTCGTAAGAAGGACACTTCCCGAGCATGAAATTATCATTCCACGGCATCGGTGGCTCCGTCACCATCAAATCCGACGCCGGAGAACCCGACCCATCACTCTCACCCGACCCTGAATGTTGCTGTGGCGGCGCCGGCTGCTCAGCCGAAGATGAAGCCGTCGCCTTAGCTACAGAAGCCGGCGACCTGGAGGCTCGTTTCCTCGTTTTTCCCGGCTGATTCTTCGGCTCAGCTAAAATGGCTTCGAGCTTGGCGTCAACGGCGGCTTGAATAGGTCCGTATTCGCCGGAATCAGTCGAAGACGAGCCGGTCTGGTATAGAAGGGCGGGAAAATTGAGCCGAGCCGAGTCGCCGCGAAGCTTAAACGCGGCGCGATCGTAAGCCAACGCGGCTTCCTCAGCCGTGTCGTATGTTCCGAGCCAGAGTCGGGTCCGGTTCCTGGGTAAACGGATCTCAGCGACCCATTTGCCCCAGTGTCTTTGCCTTACTCCACGATATAGCTTCGAAGGCTTTGGAGCCGTTACCGGACCCGGCTGGGTCAGAAAACTCGGACCCGGGTCGATGAAGTTGAGCATGCAAGCGTTCTGTTGTTGGTGAACGTAAGTGAAATCGGTGGATCCGGAATAAAAATCCGGATAGTAATCGGGTTGTTGAAGATCCGACCCGAATAAAGATGGATAGGTCATGGATCCGGAATAAATATTATCCGGGTAGAAATCGGGTTGGGTTGTAAAAGAGGCATAAGGATTGTTGTTATAGTGAGAGGAGGAAGAGGAAGAAGAAAATGTGTGGTTTGGCGCAGACGCAAACGCAAACGCAGAATCTGAAGCAGACGCGGAAGCACTTTTGTAAAAAGGTTGAAGTGCTTCCATAAGCTCGCCGCCATGGCCGCCACCGCTGAAGAAATCCGCCATTGGAGTCCCCTGAAACACAAAAAACAAAAAAAAAGAATATACTACACAACACAAGATTAGAATTAGAGAAAAAAAAAAGAATAGTGAGAAAAAGCCTGTCTTTTTAGCAAAAATCAAAGACTGGTTTTGTTCACTTTTTAGATCAAAGAGGTTTGAAATAAGCAACCTCCATAGATCATAATAAAATTTATCCACAAATGAAAAGAGGATCAAACTTGAGGGAACTAAAAAATGCCCAAGAAGTTGATCAACTCTATGAATTAAAAAAAAAAAAAAGAATATTAATTGACTGAAAAATTCATAGTAGTTCTTGAAAAGAAAGATGGCTCTCTTTTTCTAGAAAACACCTGACTGTTTCAAAATACGATTTTTTAACCTAAAGCTTGTCTTTTAGAAGATTCTTTTGGAAACACATAAATCCATAAAACAACACTTCATAAGAAAATCGTGATTTGTGTTTTTAATGAAAGACAACAGAAAGGAAACCGAGGAAGCAGGAAATTTGCAAGAGAGGGAAGTTTTTTTTTTTTCTGAAAGATGAAACCAAACAAAATAATACGAAGAGAAACCCTAATTTCACTCCAAATTTTTTTTGTGTCTATTTTTCTGAAAAAAAAA